ATTTATGTTGAAGTAATTAATTAGAAGAGAAGGTGGTGGTCCATCAAGTACGTTTCCTCATTTTCCTTGATTATCAAGTATCTCTCTTTCTCTCCCTGCGTGTGTTCCAAAAACATTCATGGCAAAACCATCATCATCTGCACTCCACCATGTGACTTTCTATCATCCTTTCCCTCTCTCACATTAATCTCTTATGCCAGAATAATCAAACTGTTAACTCTCTCCATCTTCTCTTCTACACTTTCTTCTAAGCTTTCTCACATTCACAAACCTAAAACTCAGAAACTTGAGAAGGTCAAAGCACTGATAAAAAACCATACCATTAATTACTAAAATACTCATTTGGATTATTCCTTTTGGGTTTTCAGTTTAATAGTCATGTACTGTATTAGAGTATAATATACTGCTATTAATGAAAACATGATTTTTCTACTAATTATTATAGAAAGTGATAAACCTAACTTATTATATATAATTTTGGTTGATTATAATAACAGCTGTGTGGCCGTTAATTGCTTTATTGCTTTTGCAGTCAAGGGTGAAATAGAAAGGTGTAGGGTGGCTACAGTATATTAGGATGGATGTCTAAGATAAAGGAGAGAAGACGTTAGTTATAAAAAAAAAAACAAAAAAAAAACCGGGTTTTCTTTCTTTTATCTGTTTCTTGTTGTCTCTCTCTTTCTTTATCTCTCATAAACCGCCAACATACATGCTCTTCATAAATCAGCAAAGCCTTAAAGTTGCTTGTGTGTTCGAAGAGGACAACTTTTCCTTTATTATTTTTCTCACTGAGTTTCAGTTAAAGTAGCTACCTAGAGGGAATTCTGCTGTTCTCCATCGTTAAAGCAGGTTTATACCTCAATTCTTTCTCCTCTCTCTCAGTTCACACTCTCATCCTTAATTACAGCTATGAATTTCCTTTATTCCATGAAATATTAGCCACACCATACGCATGAGAGTCAATGTTTTCAATTTTCTTTCCTTTTGTTTCTGCCAAGGTTTTTATTTTCTTAATATCTTGTTTAGAGTTTCTGAATAGAATCATGGCCTGATCGAGCAAAAGGCAAATCCCAGTTGTTATTATGAAGACAGTGATATGACTTTAACATGGCATCCAATTTGTTGTCTTGATTTTCCAGGAAAGTTTTTGTTCTGATCTCAATCGAGCGGCTGTTATATAAAAGAGAGAGATGCTTGGTTGTGGAGTGTTTGGAATTGAAGGCCTGGTAAAGTTTGATGAAGAAAGATAGCAATAGCATCATCAAATCAAAGGCATATCAGAAAGGAAGTAGCGATGAATAAGATGAGCAAGTTGAGTTGTGTTAGGAGCTCTGATCTGATAGATGCAAAGCTGGAAGAGCATCAACTGTGTGGATCCAAACAGTGCACCGGTTGTGGTCACAAATTTGAAGGGAAGCCGGTACGGAAAAGAAAAACTAAATCTCAGTAATATTCTTGCCTTCAACGAAAAGCCTTTGACAAAATGAAGAAGAATCACACGACAAAACAATACCATATTCACATGTTTACTACGGCTGTGTTATCATTGGACTAGTTCAATTTATTTAATGCTGTTTCGGTATCCCTTTTCTCCGTTACCTATTAATTAGCCTATTGCAAGACTTTTTTAGTTTCTTAAAGTTTTTCGCCTTCTTTCTCTTTGTTCTCTCTTTCTTGTGCTCTTCTTCTTCATGATCTCCACCCTTTTGCTTTCTGAGTTTTAATTTGAATTTCAATGGGTACGGCAGGACTGGCTAGGTCTTCCGGCGGGAGTGAAATTTGATCCAACAGACCAAGAACTCATAGAACATCTTGAAGCCAAAGTCGAAGCAAAGAACATCAAATCACACCCTCTCATAGATGAGTTCATTCCCACTATTGAAGGAGAAGACGGGATTTGTTACACCCATCCTGAGAAACTTCCAGGTTTAAATACTCTAAATAATAAATACAAGTACTATTAACAAATCCTCTAATGTATTCTTTTAACATAATGATAGTTCCTAAATTTCAGCAAGAATATGTTAGAAAATATTTTCGATAATAAAATTGAAATAGTTTTTTCCATACTCAAGCTGCTGCTGCTGCTTATAGTTTTTTCCATAATATTATTTAAGTTAAAATTCAGTTTTAGAGTGTGTTTGAAAACATAAAGGTTTGTTTTATGTAAATCTAATATTGATATTTTGTGTTAAAGAGCATAAAAGCTGCCTTGAAACTTGTGCAAGAGATGGATATATAAGTCAAAAGGGTTTTGTGTTACAGGTCACCTAAGTTGACCTAACTTTGATTTTGGTTTATATGTTTTTCAGGAGTGACAAGAGATGGGTTAAGCAGACACTTCTTCCACAGGCCCTCAAAGGCTTACACAACAGGGACACGAAAGAGGAGAAAGATTCAAAACGAATGCGACTTGCAAGGAGGGGAAACCCGATGGCACAAGACAGGTAAGACAAGACCGGTGATGGTCAATGGCAAACAAAAGGGTTGCAAGAAGATTCTAGTGCTCTACACCAACTTCGGCAAGAATAGAAAACCCGAAAAGACTAACTGGGTTATGCACCAGTACCATCTGGGCCAGCACGAGGAAGAAAAAGAAGGAGAGCTCGTGGTTTCAAAGATATTCTACCAGACACAACCGAGGCAGTGCAATTGGTCAGATAGAAGTGCCACAACTGGTGAAGCAAGTGGAGAACAACAACCCAACAATAATGGAACAAGAGACAGCGGAAGTGGGAGTTGTTCTTCTAAGGAAGTTCTCACTCACAGAGATGAAATGCCTGCTATCGTTGGAGTCCCTCAAATAACAACCTTCAACACTTCCTTGGACATTCAACAACTCAAATCCGACCATTTTAGCTTCATTCCATTCAGAAAAAGCTTCGATGAGGTACACACACATATACAACTCCATCTATGTATAAGCAAAACGTATTAGGAAACATTCATTTACAGGTCTCTCTCTTTGGAGAAATTAATGAGCCCGATGCTTCACTTAAATCTTGTCTGTTTATGGGTATGAGTAAGATTTATGTATTTGTTTTACTCTGATGTAAAAATGAGAAAAAGGTGAAAGAACATGAAAGGGTTACGGGGAAGGCGTTGACATAAACCTTGCTTGCATAAACAGCATAAAATTGAATGGATCTGGCCTGATGATAAATCAGCGTCAGCCAACCGCCGCATGTATAATACCCACCTTAAAATTATTGAACAATGCTAATGAATTATTGAACAATGAATTTGGGTCACATGCATGCATGCCAATAGTTGGAGCTATCTAGAGAGGCTCGAAAAAGAAAAAAGAAAAGAAAAGAGGCTGAAAAGACTAGCTAGCTAGCTAGCTAGCTAGCAAGAACGTTGGTTCGATGAAATATTTGGTGGTGGTTTATAAATTCAGACGATGATGATGACGACGATGAGCATTGCAGGTTGGAATAGGAGAAGCTTCCACGGGAGTGCAAGCATCAAGGTCGTGTGAGGAAGTACATGAAGGGCATAATATTGTAGCACATCATCATCATCATCAACAACAACAGCAGCAAAATCAGCATGCGCACCAACAAATTGCAACCACAGCCTTCCATATCAGTAGGCCTTCGCATCCCATCTCGACCATCATCTCTCCTCCACCCCTTCACCACGCATCCATCATCCTAGACGACAACGCCTACCATGTCTCAACGATCATGCTTCAAAATGAAAACTTCCAGGTAACATCAATCCACACTTCTTAAACATCATTTTTGGTTGCTTATAACATTTTAGTAATCTCCACCTCGGCCTTTCCAGTATGCAAATATTCACTTTATTATTTAGTCTATATAGATTTTAAAAAATATTATTAACTTTAGTCTTTAACGAAATCTTACAAAAGATAAACACTAATTTAGCCTTTCTGTATCTACATTTTTTTTATATATTAGTCTTTACATTTAAAAATTACTTTAGTTTTGATACATACATTATTTAATTTTAGTTTGATTGCGCAAATTGTAAAAACTAATACATCTTATTAAAAATTAAAAAAAGTGAAAACACACAACTTTTAATGATAAGAATTAAACTGTGAAAGTTGTATAAATATATAGATCAGATGAGTAAAAGATTTTATAAAAAATGATACTTACTATATATCATACAGCATGTGTTTAAAACATACGAAAACGGAAATTGTAGTTTGGATATATGGTGCAATCAAAGGAGCACCCAAGTGTGTTGAATTAAGCTGAAACGTAGTTGTTTTTGCGTGGTGTGTGTGTGTGGTGCACGAGGCTGATTCACTAACTGAGGAAGCTTTTATAAGTGCTTTCTAAATTACGAGCATGGAAGTGTCTTTTCACTTTTGGACTGCTGTTCAAACATGATGATTGAGATGTGGGGTTTGAATTTGATTTTTGTCTTTTTTAATGAATGTATGATGTGTACATCCACATGGCAACAACAGCAGCAGCACCATCATAAACTAGGAGGAAGGTCTGCGTCTGGTTTGGAGGAACTCATCATGGGGTGCACTTCAACTGATATCAAAGAGGTAATTAAGAACCTTTTGACTCTGAAATGTATGGACTTTGTTTGCCATAATGGGACTAGGGAGAGAGAAAAAGAGGGTCAAGAATAAACAACTCAGAAATTTTCTGAATAGAAAAGAGAGAAATGTGTTATAACATGATTGATCTGTAACAAACAGAAATGGAAAAGTATTGTATAAAAATACGGTGTTCAAGGTTTGATACAACTTGAAATAATTAAAAGAAATTTAAAACAGTTTCATTTTTTTAATTTGAATTGCAAAAAGACTAGAAGCCTTCATCTTTTCCCTTTATTACTTTTCACTGTTCTCGTTATGTTTTTGCATATCTGAACAGTAGAATATCTTTCCTTACACTATGAAAAACTTCTGCTAATATTTTCTCCCATGGAAGCACTGCTGCTAATGCTGAATATTTTTTGAAAATTTTCAACTTCTGCTATAAGAATGAGATATTGGAAAAGGTGAAAGTGACTTAAAATATATTTTATTGCAATCCTGTCCATATTAGGAAAGAGTGGTTCTCAATGACTTTAACTATGAGGTGGAAAGGCATGAATATTTCATTTAACAAAAACCTAATCTTCTCACTGTTTGCATTATGCATGCAGGAGTCATCCATTACAAACCAACAAGAGGCTGAATGGTTGAAATACTCTTCTTACTGGACAGACCCTGGCAACCTGCACGATCATCATGAGTAGGAGGAGACAAAGAAAAAAAAAACCACAAACAAGACAACATCATTGTGGACATCATTAATACTTGAAGCATACATAAAGTTTCTTTCAACAAAAAACCAAGTAATGAGATGGATGGCTTGCTCATTTTCTTTCATTTTCGAACGGTGCAAGTTTGTGATAAGCTTTGGTGGCTCTCATCGGAATTAACTGTGTGCAACGGAACAAATTGGAAAGAAAGGGAGAAGGAAAAAAAGGGGAAAAAGAAAAGAAATCGAAACAAAGCTGCTCTTCCTCCTGACACATGGTGAGGGTAACGACCAAAAGAAACAAAGATACGCACCTTGCTGCATAAAAATCATCACTAATATGATTACAGTATCATCCCTCTTATAATATTCACATTATTTTATTATTTAAAGATGTTTGTATTACTTCACATTCCCCGTTTTTCGCCCAATTTCATACCAATGAGTTTTAGCAAACTAGGACCACCTGGTTTGCTCGAGTCATATACATATATATATTAGGTATTCCATATATAGTTTAAGATAAGATGATATTTTTACATTTAAGTTCGTTGTTAGAGAATCTTCTACCAAACGATTCATATATTTTTCATACTATATGCATTTTATCAGTTTTGCCGAATAATTCATTCAAACCATTATTTTTTTTCTCTAATATATCATTGATCTTATTTTATGTGCTGTAAATATGTACTGTTTGTTTTAGGGTTTCACTTTCTTCTTCTTTTCACATTTTTAAAGGCTAGAGAGGAATCATATAACTTTTACTTTTCTTTTACAATTTATTATCGAGAACTTTAGGGAACCTCATGCTAGCTAGTGCTGCAAGGACCAAGCTTATGCTACTATTCATAATTCAAATTGCTTGTTAAGTCGCAGTTGTTCGTTTTGGGTTATTTGGAAAGTTAAAAATAATTTGACTTTATGTATATACAAATAAATTCTTGTGTTTTAAATTTAGAATAGAATAAATATATAACTCCATCCCCCAAGGTGATAAATTTGTATTGTGTATACAATTTACTTCATTATAGTTTTCTTTTTTGTAAAATTTTTCTAAGGTTAATAATAAACTTTTTAGCATTGGTCGAAAAATTATTGAAAACTATAAACTTTAGAGAGTCTTACTTTATATATATTGGATCTATTATTTTTGTATTATTTTTAAATATTAATAAATTGTGGATTGTTTCTTAAAAACAATTAATGTTAAAAAAATACATATTAGGGGCTCTTCTTTAAAAACTATAGAGACGGATTTTTATAATTGTATGTTTGAGCTTAATTAAAATGTCATACGAACTACTCAAATCTTTCAAGATTAGGCCAAACGTACCTATAAAACTATTTTGTTGAAATAATATTTTCTATTCTAACTTTTAATTGTAAAATTATAAAACGTCAATCCTTTTTGTTTAGTTTCCTATTTTTAAAGTACTTTTATAATATAAAATCAAAGCAAATATTGTTTTATTACTTTTTTCTATTTTCCATGTTAAACAAATAAAAGTTTTAAAGTGAAATTAGAAAATAAAACTCAACGCAAATATGCACCGCATTTGTCATTAAATTGACTATTTTCCATTAATTTAACATATTTAACTAAAGTTGGTAGATATGGAGAAATATGTTATTATAGCTAGTTTATTTTAAGAACTAAATTAAATATAAATAATTATATTAAGGAATCAAGTTAATTAGTATTTAAAATATACTAGACCTGAATTAAATTGGTTTCATTTTAATAATTTACTGTATATTTCATATCTTAAAATATATGGTATAAAAGGTTATTAAATCATACAATAAATGAAGGAAAATGTCAAATTAATAATAATAAAAGAATTAAATCCACTCAAATTCTACAAAATTTACATTCAAAACAATAAAACTAAACTCAAATGATCAATTCCTAATTAATAATTTCATAACTTAAATATTTAATTTAGAGATCAATATACATGTCGTAAAAGGTTTGATTCCGAACATAATGTTATAACTTCAAACGAACAATTTTTATGTCCAATAATCTCATGCATTCACGACTAAGACTATGCTTTCTTTGCGACACGACCATGTTCAGAAGCCTGGAGTAAGTTGCTGCTTCCCTGAACCTTTTACTGCTGCTGATGTTTGCGTAATAAAAAGAAAACTTACTTTAGGAGATGGGTTTCAAGAATATCTTTTAGTGTTCATGGGTCCCTCAACTGCACAAGTACTACATTGTGTTTGAACTTTGAAACGCTACGTATATACACTAACGCATTTATTCTCTAAATTGCGCACAACACTTACAAGATTATTAATTAACTTGTTGTACCAATTAATGATTTCTCGAAGCCACATTTACTTTCCAAAGACATGTACGGCTCGTGTCTGTCATATTCAAGGAATTAAGGAGGGAAATTCAATTTCTTATTGAACACCATGAGCTTTTCACATTATATATATAGGTGAGGTTCTCTTGATTTTGTTATTTAGTTTTTCAGAAAAGAGAGTGATACTAGGAGACAAACACGTCTTTTTTTGCTTTATTCTGAAGAAAGATTCGAGCTTTTCCTGCAATATTACTAGAGTAAAGATGTACTTATCTCATTTTAGATATGTATGTATAGAGAGAGAGAAACTTGCATGTTATATATATATTGCTTTAAAGGGACATGCATGCAATAAAGAGAGGGTAACTTCATTGTAGTTTCTGAAGGGAATAAAGACAGGACTGAATAGAGAATGTGAAGACAAGAATAAACTTTTTAGGTTCTTTTATTCTTGCACTCTTTTTTAATAACTGCTTGCCATATACTTTCTTTCGGTGTGTAAGAGAGAAAAAGACAAGCCATAATAATTATATATATAATTTTATTCACTCTCAAGTATATATGATGGTGTGAAACGAAATACGATACCTATAGCTTTGGATCTCTCGCAATGAAATGCTAGGAGAATCTTTAAACTGCTCCTGTTAGATAGAAAGAGAGGATAAGTTACAATTTAATAAAGAAAGGTGATATTGAGTTCTTTGGCTTTATGGAAGATTTTGGATGCTTTTGAAAGGAGCATATATGGAGAGAGTATAAGTGTGTAGTGGTAGTGTTATGGTTTTTGGGTATGCCATAGATTTGGTCCCGTAAAGAAGTTGCAGGAGGAATGGTGGTAGTGAAAGGACGAATATAAAAAATTGCTCTTTCAGATTCTTCCCAACTGCTTCTTTTAATATTCTGCTTCATTCTACTGCAGACAAGTTGAACATCAAGTTTTCTTTCTTGTCCAAAAGTCCTTCATCACCTGAGAACTCTTTTATTGTAGGAAACATTGGACCATATGAACACAATAGCCTCGGCTTTACCCACGGATTTAGTACTGTAATAAAGTGGTAGCATATCCTATTTCTAAGGTCAATAAAAACTCAGGGTGAGACCAAACAGAAGTCTCCACAATCCATTTTTTTTATGGGAAAGAAAAAAAAAACTTAGCTTTAGGCCATTCTACAAAACCAAGCATATTAACTAGTGGCCAATATATAGCTTATTTTAACTTGTTTCAATTACCTTTAATCCTAAAATATTCAATTTCATAGAACAGGTAAAGAGGAAAAAAAACTAGTAAAGCTTAAACATACGAAAAACAAGATGAATATCATGAATAATGAAAAATAATCATGGAAGAAATATTTTACAATATATAGTAACTCCTAATAAAGTAGTGTACATGCAAAGTTTAAGATGGCAATGAGGTATAAGAACTCTATTTTAACAAGTTCCCTAGTTTTAAGATGGCAAATTGTTTAGTAAAGTATTCTTCGAATATAAACAAAAGTGTAGAATGTAATTACTTTCATTGAATAGTGTAACTAAGGTGCTTTAAGATGGTGTGGGGACTAAGGATAGACTTTTCAAAAAGTAAACTAACTATATTGAAGGTGGAAGTATCAACAATACAAAACTATTTGTGGAACTAACTATTCCTTTCNAGATAAGATGATATTTTTACATTTAAGTTCGTTGTTAGAGAATCTTCTACCAAACGATTCATATATTTTTCATACTATATGCATTTTATCAGTTTTGCCGAATAATTCATTCAAACCATTATTTTTTTCTCTAATATATCATTGATCTTATTTTATGTGCTGTAAATATGTACTGTTTGTTTTAGGGTTTCACTTTCTTCTTCTTTTCACATTTTTAAAGGCTAGAGAGGAATCATATAACTTTTACTTTTCTTTTACAATTTATTATCGAGAACTTTAGGGAACCTCATGCTAGCTAGTGCTGCAAGGACCAAGCTTATGCTACTATTCATAATTCAAATTGCTTGTTAAGTCGCAGTTGTTCGTTTTGGGTTATTTGGAAAGTTAAAAATAATTTGACTTTATGTATATACAAATAAATTCTTGTGTTTTAAATTTAGAATAGAATAAATATATAACTCCATCCCCCAAGGTGATAAATTTGTATTGTGTATACAATTTACTTCATTATAGTTTTCTTTTTTGTAAAATTTTTCTAAGGTTAATAATAAACTTTTTAGCATTGGTCGAAAAATTATTGAAAACTATAAACTTTAGAGAGTCTTACTTTATATATATTGGATCTATTATTTTTGTATTATTTTTAAATATTAATAAATTGTGGATTGTTTCTTAAAAACAATTAATGTTAAAAAAATACATATTAGGGGCTCTTCTTTAAAAACTATAGAGACGGATTTTTATAATTGTATGTTTGAGCTTAATTAAAATGTCATACGAACTACTCAAATCTTTCAAGATTAGGCCAAACGTACCTATAAAACTATTTTGTTGAAATAATATTTTCTATTCTAACTTTTAATTGTAAATTTATAAAACGTCAATCCTTTTTGTTTAGTTTCCTATTTTTAAAGTACTTTTATAATATAAAATCAAAGCAAATATTGTTTTATTACTTTTTTCTATTTTCCATGTTAAACAAATAACAGTTTTAAAGTGAAATTAGAAAATAAAACTCAACGCAAATATGCACCGCATTTGTCATTAAATTGACTATTTTCCATTAATTTAACATATTTAACTAAAGTTGGTAGATATGGAGAAATATGTTATTATAGCTAGTTTATTTTAAGAACTAAATTAAATATAAATAATTATATTAAGGAATCAAGTTAATTAGTATTTAAAATATACTAGACCTGAATTAAATTGGTTTCATTTTAATAATTTACTGTATATTTCATATCTTAAAATATATGGTATAAAAGGTTATTAAATCATACAATAAATGAAGGAAAATGTCAAATTAATAATAATAAAAGAATTAAATCCACTCAAATTCTACAAAATTTACATTCAAAACAATAAAACTAAACTCAAATGATCAATTCCTAATTAATAATTTCATAACTTAAATATTTAATTTAGAGATCAATATCCATGTCGTAAAAGGTTTGATTCCGAACATAATGTTATAACTTCTCACGAACAATTTTTATGTCCAATAATCTCATGCATTCACGACTAAGACTATGCTTTCTTTGCGACACGACCATGTTCAGAAGCCTGGAGTAAGTTGCTGCTTCCCTGAACCTTTTACTGCTGCTGATGTTTGCGTA